TCTCATTCTGACGCACACTTCTATGATAATAGTACACAAAATACAAAGCCAGTTACAGAAATAATACGAGTTTTATGTTTTTTGGCTTAGCCAAAACTGCAGTTGTATTCGCTTTCTCATAAGGGACAGCAGTTAGCATTTTATTAGTCACAGGAGCGAAGCGACTATAATGTGATCTTTGGCTGTGAAATTGAAACTGCAATTACCTGAGACTACGTGCTGCCCATGCAGCATTAACATCTCCCTCTTTCCTGCATAATTGGTTGGTTGAGATTTGGTTGATGCTCTGGTTTGTTTGGTAGCAATCCTCTGGAAGACTAAGTATCAACTCTTTCAAGTCCTGTAATCTGGCGTTCATGTCACCTAAGCTCTGGAAGAGGTTTATATCGGCTCAGAGTTAAGTTGTATATTATGTCGTATGCGTGGCCTGTTGCCACAGAGAAGTTGTGGTGTCGTATGCGTGGCCTGTTGCCACAGAGAAGTTGTGGTGTCGTATGCGTGGTCTGTTGCCACAGAGAAGTTGTGGTGTTGTATGCGTGGTATGTTGCCACAGAGAAGTTGTGGTGTCGTATGCGTGGTCTGTTGCCACAGAAGTTGTGATGTCGTATGCGTAGCCTCTTGCCACAGAGAAGTTTTGGTGCCGTATGAGTGGTCTGTTGCCACAGAAGTTGTTGTGTCGTATGCGTGGTCTGTTGCCACAGAAGTTGTGGTGCCGTATGCGTGGTCTGTTGCCACAGAAGTTGTGGTGTCATATGCGATTGACTGTGCAACTGCTGATTTGTTCAACTGCTGCTTACCCCTGCGATGACTTGTAGTTCCAGTGCCGGACTGGTTATGTTAGCACTTCTGCCTTGTGCATTTTATTTGTAGATGGTAATGACTGGCTTCGCCAAAACTGCAGTTGTATCCGCTTGTTCATAAGGGACAGCAGTAGGCATTTTTCGTTGGCACAGGAACGATCTCTGGCTGTGAAATTGGAACTATGATTACCTGAGACTATGTGCTGCCCATGCAGCATGTCTCGCTCCACCTGCCTCTTTTTACACCAAAGGAAAAGTAAAACCAATACGTTTGATATAAAGCATACTGCAGAATATAAGGAATCAAAAGCACAGTTCTCTGTCTGCCAAAGCTACCCATTCTAGTTTTCTAGTATTTTTAGAGTGTCTAATTTTTGGCTACAAAAGCTATAGCTACAGGAACACCCACAATGACAAGAAAGATATTCTTAAGGCCACTTTTGAACGATTGCTGATGGAAAATAGTGTTCTTCTTCTCAAAGTCAGTTTTCTTCTTCTCAAAGTCCATGCCATGTGGAGTTGGTAGTCATGTCTGTCCACAACCTTGTCTCTTGTAAACTTTCAATCAACTCTGACACCCATGATTCTCAGTGCCATGTCAAACTGTCCAGCATCTTTTCTCTTGATTTCCCTCCGCCTCCCCCCACCCCCAACTTTCCTACTGTCATGATGTACTCCAGTTTTCTCCTCATTACATGATCAAAGAATGTTGATTGTCTCTTTCTGATGTTGGCAATCAGTACTCTTCGTGAGTCAGTTTTTTTCAAGACATCTAAATTACTCTTTTTTTTTATCTGTCCATGGCATTCTTGTCATTCGCCTATAAAACCAGATTTCTGCAGCTTTCAAATAAGTTGTCACATTTATCAACTGTCCACGATTCACCTCCGTATAACAAGATTTAATTTATATAGCTTCTAAGAACGTTCTCTCTCGTCTCAATTGGCAAAGAAAAAATGCATAAAATATTCTTAATTTTGTAAAGATAGTGTTGTATGAAAAAAACACAATCCCCTTCAGTAGGGATATTGAGAAGGTGTCACATTTACAGAGCAAAAAACCCAGACTAGTGACCGGCAACATCAGGATCTGAACCAGGGCCATCTATTCCACAGGTTAGTTTCTGGCCATTGCATGATTGAGTCTACCTTCAGGTACATGCATCTGTATGTGTGTAAGCAAACACATGTGCATGGATTCCCACACTGGTGTGTGCGCATGTGTGTATATATCTTTGTGTGTATATATCCATGTGTATATTTATCTATGTGTGTATATATCCATGTGTTCATATCCATGTGTGTATATATCTATGTGCATGAATATCCATGTGTATATATCTATGTGTGTGTATATCCATGTGTGTATATATCCATGTGTGTGTATATATATATACATCTATGTGTGTATATATCCATGTGTGTATATATCTATGTGTGTGTATAAATCTATGTGTGTGTATATATGTGTGTATATATTTATGTGTGTATATATCTGTGTGTATATATTTATGTGTGTATATATCCATGTGTGTGTATGCAAACGGATGTGTGTGCAGTCCCCTCCCCATCAGTCCTCGCTAGGTACTAGAGTAACACTCCAAGGCACCAGTTTTGGTGCAACTAACATTTTTTAGCCAACATAATTGGTACACACAAAAACCAGACTATAATTATCACCGATACTACTTGCAGTAGGTTGACTGTGGTCATGTTTTTTGGTTTGTTTTACATAAATGGAAGGAAGGAAGAAAAATAAATGTGAGCTTTTAATTAAGTTAGATCCACACATAAATCTTTCTCAATCTGGTATGTGCTGAACACAGTAAACCATGGTGCTGTGAGGTTGCTTGAACCAGCACTACTCTTCCCCTACTTCCTCATCTGTTCTCATAAGGCTGTGTTGTGACTACTTAGCTAACAATATATGCACAGATAGTTATTTGTTTATGAAGTTAGTTATCAATGTCAAACTCTGGAGCCACCAACCCTATGGTCTTTATGTATCATAGCATCAGAGTCCTAAGGGGTAGTAAAGAGAAATGTAAAATTGGTGCATCTTGCGTTTATTGGACTTCCGGGAAGGATTCAATGAATATAAACTGTGTTTCTTGGGATTAAAAGAGTGAAACGGGTAGTGAGCATAATTTGGATATTTTTTCCTGGTCATGCCGCCGTGGTGGGTAATGAACAGGCAGACATATTGGCTGGATCTGCACCACTGGGTGGTGAACTGATGCATGACATGGCAGATGTTGTCAAGGCCTTTTAGGAACAAGTAATGGAATCAGTAGAGATAGAAGATTATTATGGCCTGGAGAGAATGAGGAACCTGGCTGTAACCAGAGGGTTTGGCAGACTCGCTACACTCAGAGGAAAGGCGAGACGGACCTATAACCAGATTGTGACTGGTACCATCAGTATTGGAACTCTGCACTGGTTGCTGAAGATGAGGACGGAGCATGCATGGGAATGCCCCGAGTGCTGTGATGTCAATTCTTGACTTAACTAACAGAGTGAAACAACCTTAATTTTATTTTATCCTGCTGTGGTTTTATCACCGATTAAATTCGCTGATCATAAATTCACAAAAATTAATCTAATTTCTGTCATGCATACAGACTTTTTTTTTGTTGCTGGTCGCCTGATGTAACAGAAACATACATTTTTGCTGCCAGTTTAATTTGTGGCTAAATATTCTGTGAAGCTAATGAACATTCATCTATACTACAAAACAAATCTGTTCTCATTATCTGATGCTTTTCCAGTTCGACATTGATACTAAAAGCTATTACATACACATTCCATATTTCAAATGAAAGCAACATGCTCTCTGCATGCAGTAGAGAGATCCCAGGTTTGGCCAGTTGGCATTCCAGTGGAAACCAAGCTGTATGGAACAGACTTCATAGAGACCTGTGGCCTTCTCATGTGAAAACCACTGGCAAGGAGAACAAAAAGAAGAAGTTATGAATGTGGATTGAGTATTACTAGAAGCAAAAAGAGCCAAATTAGCCCTCAGTCTAGTGGGGAGGAGTTACATTAACATGATTTAACCCAGCCTCATTCTCAACACAGAGAAGCAGTAAAGAACAAATTAGCCCAGCTCATTGGGCATATGGTGTCAGACCCATATTTGATGCAATGAAAAGCCCGTTTTCCCCCCCCCCCTCCCCCGAACATTTCATGGTGCCCAATGTATACTGGGCAGAGCCCAAAGCCCTTGTGCAAATGAATAATAACTCATTTCAATATGACTTCGAACCCACAACCTATTTGGCTGCTGCACTAGCACAACTACCCGTTCAAAAGTGATCAAGAAGTAATTTGATTCAAAATAATTCATTATTTGATATGAGCAGAAAGACACATTTTTAGGTTAATTACAAAATTCATCAAAACTAGTTTTATTAACAAAACTCGGATAAAGGAGACATTCTCTGAAACAGTATAGTTTACAGTGTCTGATAAAACAGTTTTAGATGAAAGACATAATGAGAAACTGAGTCACTGAATCCTCTAGTCTGTTGACACAGCTTCAAAACAGGCTGGCAGCAGTAGTAATCTAACATCATTTACTGCACCGCTGAAATAAGGCCAGTATCAGTTTATACAATACTCAAAACACACTTAGTTTCCCAAGGAAATTCTGCTTCTGGTGAGCAGGTTATATCCATTTCTGCCCCATAAGGACATTCTAAAAACAAAAAATGTCTACACAACTTTACTTAGTCGCTCCTCTTCTACCTTGGGGTGTAGAGGTTTGCCAGAGAGATCGCCAGACGTCTCTATCAGCAGTTTTCTTTCTGGCTTTGTTCCATTCCAGTCCTCTGTCAGTGAGGGACTGTCGGATGTTGTCTTCCCAGCGCACCCTGGGTCGTCCCGGAGGTCTGGTTCCCTGGTTCTTAGCCTCCCATGCTTGCCATGGTGGCCGATTTTCTCCCATTCTGCATTCATGTCCAAACCATCGTAACTGTGACATGTCTACACAAACAGCATGATAATTTTGGCAAAATCCAAGCACCTAAATAAATAATGCCAAAGAAAAATATAGCTAGTAAATGCTAATCATTAAAGTTAGTTGCGTTTCCTTTACAAGACTTTGCAGAACCAATCCCCACATTTTCTGGCTGTTTGGTTTTACTAAGCAATTTCATGTTCAGCAGTTCGGTTATGCATTACAAACTTCTAAATGAAAACATCACTCACTAAGGCAACCTGCTGGTGTATTTTCACTTACAGCAGCATCTGCCCTTCTGATGCTCCGTAAGTACATAATAGGAGCCATAGTAACATTCTTAGGAAATAGTATGAGTGGTGCTGCTCCTTCTGATGAGCTCTGATCTGTCCCGCCAGTTGGGAACTGTTTGGGACCCCCTTCTTTAGCTACAGCATCTGGTGGTAACAATGAGCTAAGTGAAGCTACGGGAATACTAGAGCAGTGAAACATCTCTTTCATTGTGGAGCCGGAAGCTAGAGAGATGCTTTTTATTGTAGCTGAGTTGTCTTCTCGACCTCTATCACAGGGAAGGTATGAAGAGAATTTTGCTAGCCAGTCATCCCTGGATAAAGAAGCACCCTGTGGATTTTCATTTGTGGACGAGCCTGCCACAGATGTCTGAGCAGATGATATGCAAGGCCCCGGAGATCGGTTGTCTGAATTCTGCATCACAGACTGACTTGTGCTTGAAATCTGAGGACGGCCTTCAGAATCACACTTACCAGCCGATTCAGCAGTGGTAAGATCTTCTGCACTAGACTTCTTGTGTGTTGCCGCTTCTGGAAAAGGCAAGATCACTTATGATAATTAAGTAATGATACGCATGGAGAATATAAAAGGCCTAAGAGAACTATAAACCCTGTAGGAAATCCCCTACACGGTAGAGGGAAAGGATTCCTGTCCTGTAACATGCAGTCCTGGGAAGTAAAGGCAGCCGGCATGATACTGACCACATTACCCACCAAGTGGCAAATGGTCTATATAATATAGGTCTAGCCCTGTATGTCTGAAGGCATGGAAAGGGGTCCTTTTATACTGTTTATTCTATAACAAAATAGTCAGGACATTTGCCTTGCTCCCTGATGTTTGTGGATTTGTTTTCAGAGACCCTTGGAACTACAATGCATCTCAGAATGTAAAAATACAGTAATATACTTTTATACGTAAAGGATAGAGGTAAAGACACAGAGATAGTTACAGAATTCCACAAAAGTTTGAAATATAGATGATCACAAGAAATGTGATAACATATTCAAATTAAATTCAGGTGACCAAAACTTTACTTTTTTTACAACCATGAAAACAAAGATCAAGCAAGAAAGACGAGCACCAACATGATTAGAAACAGAGTACATTTCAATACCCCAGACAAGTTTCATTATTGGGCTCCTAAGAAGCCGAACTAATGGCAGTAGTTCAGCTTGGGCTAAGGAGGGACAAGATCATGGGGTCAAGTATAATTCACAGTACACATTTTTTTTCCTAGACCCAAGGGAGTAAAATCCATTTAGTTATCCCAATGTTTGTACATACTGATTAATCCCCCTCAGATATTTAAAATTACAATTTAACAAATGTAAAATTTCAATTTTTCTCTTATGTATTAGTGAACTGTTTAAAATGGTTATTTTTAAAAATCTTCAGGAATCAGTGGGGTCATAGTTTTTTCTTCCAATAATTCGCCTCGAGTGCTAGAGGTTCTAGGTTCATAGGGCTTGGATTTTTCATGTTGTCTTCGACTTCTAGTAATTCCTCCTGGTCTCTGGGTAGTGAGATTGGAGGCCTGTGTGCATTGTTGCGCACATAAAAAATCCCTTGGCAGTTGGAAATCAAAAAGAGTAGCCTAACGGCGCTGTCTGGGCAAAAATCTGGAGTTCATAATCTACCTTAAGTATTTCAGGATCCTCGCCGGTGCTACAGAGCCTGTGCTGATCTTCTTTGGACTCAGACTTGAGTTAGAAGAAGAACAGAGCACTTATGGGTTACTACCCGTGTGCCATGATGTTGATTGATTGTTCAAAACCTCAAACTTCTTCTAATAATTGCTGGGCCGAAAGGATTAAATAAAGGCAATTCTATTGCAGGTACTGCTCCTTAAATGTTCAGCAACAAGACTTTCTCATGTTAGTTCACAAAGTTATGTGTTAAATAACAAACTCCTTTCTTAAATATGCTGTTGCATAAAATAGCAAAGCTGCAGGCCTTTACAATTTTGTAGAATGCAAAAAAAAAATGTAGCTACAAACCTCGTAATAACGACAATCTCTGGCGTGACAATTCCTGTTCCTCTTCATGCAGCTGAAATGCAACAAGATTCATACAAGAAAGATAAAGTCCCTTTACAAATATTCCTTGTATCAGAGGCTCAAAGACAACATTTTACTTTACTTGCCAAAAGCTATAATTTTTTTTTTTTAACTAATGCTTTTGAGGAGGATCGGATGGCAAATTTTTAGACTAGTCAAAGATGTAAACAGTAGGGAATGGAGATTTAGAAGCAACAAGTGAATTCATATTCTGTTCAAATTACCACTGATCACTGATATCTGTCAAACTGTCACTACTGTCTGTGTGTACCACTTGCATATGCAAAAAAGCTGAACTGGAGCTGACCACCAGGTAGTTTGTCCTAATCTTCAAAAGCTAGGGCAGAGTTCTAACTCTTAAGGTACTTGGAACCGTCTGATTGTATGTCCACTGCCTTTCCACTGAGTGCTAAGCGTGGGTCGGATCCCCTGGTCACTTTCCGTGGCACCGTTCTTTACAGGACATGAATTATCTACTAGGCCTCCACAGTTTTCCTCTTTCCCAAAAAGCCTTGAGAATATCTAGTTTGTCACGCACCAATTTACTATTCAGTGGTGCAGTAGCAGACAGTATGTCAGCCTGTTTGTTACATACTTTCTTTTCTGTACATTTAAAATGCAAAGCCTTGATTTTCTTTAGCGACTACAAATTGGCCTAATGCCTTATATCTGTATGTTGTAACACCACAACAAACTGGCCCATGCCTCACAGCTGTATGTTGTAACACCACAACAAATTGACCAATTTGACTGTTAGGTGTTGCAACATTCAGCTATGAGGCATAGACCTCATAGCTGTATGTTGCAACAGCACAACAAATTAGCATGTCATGTAGTGACTGGCACTCATGGTGTCAACCAATACAGGTAAATTTGTTTGTTGTGCTGTTTCTACGGGTTCCCCACATGTTTATTTCCATGTTGCCATGGTGGAATGGAAAAAAATAATAGCAGAAGGCATGGTACCAGGAAGGAGAGGCAGGGGCCAACCAACATGAAGAAGGCACAGGATATGTGACTCCTTGAATAGGAAAGTACATGAGGCGGCACAACTGGGAAGAGACTGAGTTTCTTTCAGGCAGACGGTAATGAGAGCGATGTTCTGCAAAGGACCTGCTACATGAAAGATATACAACATATTATTACACTATTGCATAGGTTCTGGGGTTCCATTAGGGAAGGGGGTAGGCAACACCCCCCCCCCCCCGAATATAGTTTAAAGCGACCAATCAGAGGTACTTCCTGCAAAGTCAGATTATATCTGCCCAAGAGGCCAAGAACCAACAGTCTGTATATAAATAAGCCAGATCTGTAAAATGGATGTGCGTACCAAACTCAAGTTCTGAAACAAGATTTAAAGTCTAGAAGTGGACAAACGACCAGGAAATTCTACAGGAGTTTAGGACCAGTGAACACTAAGGAGAAGAAGGATTACACTAAGATCAAACAGACCAGACTTCCTATATATCTGAATGCTACAATTGGAGCTACCATACTCAGATATGCTGTAACGCATAAGTCTAGTTCCCTGTGTGGCTTCTGGAAGGTTAAAAAAAAAAAGAAGGAATAGGCCCACTGCCTTGCTAACAACACTTCCATAAAAGGCATTTATTATTTCATATATAAGTGGTAACTAACTTATATTGGTCAGATGGAGAGAACTTGGAGACAGAGTGGCAGAACCATCGCTAAATGGCTCCAAACACAATTTAGCGAAGATCCCAAAAGTGTATAAAAACTATTTAAAAAGAACCCAACTCTTCAAAAAGTAAACTATCTTGATATCATGAGATCATCTTGATAATCTGGTTATTAGACAAACAATGTAGAGAGAGAGAGAGAAAGAGAGAGAGAGAGAGAGAGAGAGAGAGAGAGAGAGAGAGAGAGAGAGAGAGAGAGAGAGAGAGACAGACAGACAGACAGACAGACAGACAGACAGACAGACAGACAGACAGACAGACAGACAGACAGACAGACAGACAGACATAGAGATGAACAAACAAACGAATAAACTTTATTTTCAAAGGGTCACATATTCAGCATACAGGCCCATAATACATACAGCCTTCCATACATCCATCTCTCACACAGCAGTTTATTGTCAATAGAGATTTTTTTTATAAAAAGTATTCAGGCTTTGTGCTTCCTTATATGCTGATATAACTAATTAGGTGTTTGCTGAAACTGGCTATGTTGAATCAAAGCACAGAATGCTAGAATGTGCAAACCACCCTATTACGGGTGAATGCAGAAGAAGCAAATAAGTGCAACAAATAGCAAACATAAATTTAAAAAATAAAAATCACATTGGATATCTCACCTGCTTTCGTCTCTCTGTGCACTGATTTATCTGTAGCACAGCTTGCTCTAAAAGTTTATGCAGCCGACTCAATCGGAGGTCCAAGGTCATCTTCTCCTGCTTGATGTCCTCTTCCCTCTCTGACAGTATCAAAAGCTCCGACATAACATTAGACGAGGTCTCAGCTGATTAAAATAAAACAATTAGACTGTCAACACAGTAACACTCGGTCCCAAAAAGCTTCAAAGCAGATCTATGAGGAGGTAAAAAACCACTATAAATAATCAGAAATGCAATACTTTAACAAACATAAGACTTCCACACTTTCAGTTTTATTGGGCTGAGTAAAAGTCAAGGATCCCTTTTGAAGATATGATGTACCGGCACTATGAGTCAACACCGTACTCAAAGTTGTAAAGAGGAACTCCACAAAACAAGTCAATTTTATCAAAAGAACTTGTCTGTCAGTGTAAATCAAAGGTGATCACAAGAAGAAGACATGATGTGTAATGGGTGTACGGTAAAAGAATAGGTAACGTACTCTTTAAGCAGGGCTATTCAACTACGTTTACTTATGGGCCAAAATACTTAAAATGAAGACTGTCATGGGCCAGAGACACGAGCTCCCAGCATAGAAAGATTGTTAATGCAATACAAGTGGTACTGATCCACTAAATACTTGCTAGGTTTCCTGGGGCCAGATCTGGCCGGCGGGCTGCAAGTTGAATACCTCTACTCTAAAGTCATGAGACATGTTGGACATGTCATGCTAGGTCCACATTTTTAGACCAATCAGGGTCCCGGCACATCACTGAAGGTGGGATGGGAGACTAATTAGGGCTTTGCTGAAATCGGACGTGTTGGACCAAAAGGCAGATATCACAGCCAAGCTGTAAACTACAACACAAGTCAAAACACCCTTTTAAAGATGAGCGTAGAAAAGACCACAGACAGTCAGCCCTTTCAAGTAGATTTCTGGATGCCCGCTTGAGGCAAAAGTGACAGTAAGCAGAGGTCTATGAAAATAACATGAGGGGCTTGAGAGGATTTTCCCCGTATGAGTTTCAGAGACCCCATTGGGGGGGGGGGGGGGGGGGGGGGAGAAGAGAGACACCCTCTTCTCCAAAAAATCATGCCATAAAAGACGAATAATCAGGAATGCTTTACTTTACATCAGTACATCTTCATGAGAGGTCTGTAACCAACAGACTGCAGATCAATAAGCCAGATCTGTAAAAGAGGTATTCATGCAAAATAAGTTCAGAAACAAGACCAAAGTCCAGAGGTGGACAAAAGCCAGAACTTGCCGCAAGAGTCTACGCCAGTGAACACCAAGAGGTAGAATCCGCTTAAGAGGATTTAAACACTGAAAACTAGCCACTGCTCCATTTCTTTGCATGAGGTTAAAACTTGAGGCTATCTTCCGAATAACGGTCCCAAATTATCGAGGCAAAAAACATACCCTAACAGGGCCTCAGTCACGTGTCAGTTGCGTACTTACGGGGACTATACCGCCACGGTCGAGAGTTTCCCCCATGCCGCTCACATGGCATGGATTGGGGCTTAACTAGATGGCTGGGACTCATGAGCAAATAAAATCAAGCCAGCTGCAGGAAATGTGGTAGCTGCTTCTTGTGAGTCCCAGCCATCTAGTTTAGCCACAATCCACGCCGCGTTAGCGGAAGTGCGCAATTGACACGTGACTGAGGCCCTGTTAGGGTATATTTTCTGCCTCGATAATTTAGGACCGCTATTCAGAAGATAGCCAAACTTTATAACTGGTCACTGGGAAAGCCAGATTTTGTTAGCCTGCTGTGACCAAATGTGAAAAGTAAAGAATAAATGACAAGATTGTTGGGATTCAAGGGAAAAAGATGATGTTACATCAAATGTTGCTTACATGGAAACCAGGGAATGACCTAGGAACTAATAAGGGTGGCCAGCATGAAGCTGACTACATCACCCATAAAGTGCCAATTAGTCTATAAACATATGAGTCCACAATCACATATTTGATGCCCCTGTCAGGATCTTTGCAGGAGTGAGCTGAATGAGTTGAGTCAAGAATTGACATCACAGCACTCGGGCATTTCTATTTGTGCTCCGTTCTTATCTCCAGCAGCCAGCGCAGAGTTCCAGTACTGATGGTACCGGTCACAATCTGGTTATATGTCCGTCTTGCCTTTCCTCCGAGTGTAGGTTACACCCAGATGCCTCATTCTCTCCAGGCCATAATAATCTTCTAATATGATTCCGTTGATTGTTCCCATAAGGCCTTGACCACATCTGCCTTGTCGTGTTTCAATTTACCACCCAGTGGTGCAGATCCAGCCAATCTGTCTGACTGTAAATTACCCATCACGCCGGCATAGCCTGGAGAAAAGATCAAAAGTATGCTCACTACCCGTGACCCATCCAGTCGGTAGGGTTTCAATTGTAGGGGTTAAGAACTAAGTAAATATTAGATCCAGCAAAATGCAAAATTTGTGATTATGTGTACACAGAAACCACAGAAGCCAGGTAAACTATGGGAATGTTGAAAGCGCTCTGTCCTCCATCTTCAGCAGCAAGAGGAGAGTTTCAATTCTGATGGCACCAGTAACTGTCTGACTGTACATCCGTCTCACCTCTCCCTAGAGTGTTGAACATCAGCCCAATCCCCTGGTAACTCACCGCAGCCATTTTCTTCTCAGAACTATAGAAGGTAATGAAAAGAGCTCCAGCTACAAGCAGTTGTTGAATGAGTGTTCGAGCGGACGGTCTGGACAACTATAAATGTGCGCATACCACATAGGGGTAGAGTAGCAGTAGCAGTTATTGTAACAGTGATAGTACAACTGTAGTAGTAGTGAAGTGACATTCGTATATGTAAATCCACTGTGATTATTCTAATAAAACTAGATTGTGGTAAATGAACTATGTCACTGTATTCTTTGCAACTTGTGCAGTGTTGTCAGACAGCCTGTTTTCATGGGCATCAAGATTATCATGCCTACTTCTTGATGAGAAGTGAATGGAAAGATTAGGGAGTGGGAGAAAACCTAACTAGCTGCCATATGTCAGAGCAGCTCAGATGGTCTTGTACACCCTTTGGTGATCCATTACTTACTATACACATACTGCTTGGAGCTGAAAGAAACAGCTATTCTCCTTTCCTTAAGCCAAACCCTCTTTGAGAGAATATTAGAAACAGACTAGAAAATGGATGCTGGTTATAACCAGGGAAAACAGATTCCCTCAAGCATCAGAACAAAACAGACCAAGTCATCATCTTTCATTTACACATTGGACACTGCAAACTGCAAAGCAATCACATAAATTAGAAATTAGGTAAGTAAAGTAAAAGACCCTTTCCACGCCTTTAGAGCTTAGACCTATATTTGTATAGACTAATCGGCACAAGAAGGGTGATGTGGTAAGCATCACGCCAGCCACCTTTACTTCCCCAGACTGTACCCGGTACCCACTCAAGGCTGGGTCGATCTGGGAGTCAAGGTCATTTTTGGAAAAAGTCCAGCTCCACCAGGCAGCGAACCTACAACCTTTGGATCCGCACGCGAGCGTCATAAACTAGGTATTAATGTGAAATTTCATTATTTTAATTAGGTATTATCTGTAGCAATGCACCTGATAAGTAAGATACAGCAAAATATGCCAGGCAATAAAATGTGCAATGTATTGTTTGTGTCCACACTATTTAAATTATATGCACTGTTTAAATTATATATTAGCCAAACTGCTTGCTCTTTGCCAGTGCCATTGTGCTGAACAGACCGTCCTCATTACAAGACTGTCTTCTCCTGAAAAAGCTGCGAAACAACATGCGACTAAACTCAGTAAACCTGATAACCAAGCTTTGGGGAACTTAAGACGCCTCTAGCTGACACCCCAGTGAAAGGCCCATAGTGGATTAAGTGCATGACCAGACACTGCTGAAGAAGAAGATAGAATCATAAATAGAAAAAACAAGAAGATAACAAAACACAAATTGTGTCCCACACCACACTTACGGATATCGACTGTATCTTCAATTTCCATCCCTCCATCTAGCAACTGCTTGTCCCCAGCTCCATTAATGTCTTCATCATCAGTGACAGCAGTGACCATGTTAGATGCACATTCGACTTTGACAGATGTTACTACAGATGGTAAATCTGATCCAGAATTGGAGAGATCTTTGCCTACATCAGATGTGGAAACTGTATCTGCCTGTGGTGCGCTAACAGGCAATGTTGAATTACTCATTTCATTGTCTGGCAACTGCTCACTTCGCCTTCCGCTGTTGTCATCACCATCTATTACAGTAGTGACTACTTTAGAATCGTCAGATTTGAACAATGAAATCGGCAGTGTTGGTTTTGAACTTGAGAATTTGAGAGTGTCATCGGATGTCTTGGCTGAAGAAATTCTGACTTGTTCTGATGCCTCCGGAAGATCTTTTACTTGTGTGTCTGGCAACTGTTTTCTTTTTTCACCATTATCATCTTCATCATCTGTGATAACAGTGACCATAGAAGATGTGTTGTTAGATGTGGAAATATTTAATGATGATGATGACGGTGGCTCTTCGGGTAGATTTACCCGACCTTCAAGCCATGGACTTGGGGGTAATGTCAGTCTGTGAGACGTCTGTGTGTGTGATCCAGCTCCGTTAGATGAGGACAAACTCAGGGTTGTTTCTGTTAATTGCTGCTGTTGTGTGGTCAGAGCTAAGGATGACTTTGAGCCTGTATCAGGAAAAGATGATCTTAAACTTGTATCCAAAGAAAGTGAAAGTCCTCTTGCTGTATGCAGGGAAGATGAAACAGTCGCTACCTGTGTTGTTGATTTTGCTGGACTTTTTGATGATGATTTTACTTTTGTATGTGTGCGCTGTGTGGATGACTTTAGGCTTTTATGTACACTTGATGAATTCATCGGAACATCTGCAATGGAGCTAGATGCCTCATGTTGTGTCTGTTTGGAGTGCAGGTCGGATGAACTAATTTCAGATGAATTATTAGGTTTATGTGCTAAACCATCCTTGTTTTTTATACTGAGTGATTTTGCAGATACTTTCAACTTCCTTTCATCATCTGTTTTATGTGTTAAACTATCCTTTTGTCTTACACTAGGTAATTTCACAGATGTCTGAAGGCCTTCGGCTGAAACTGTCTCTACCTGTGTTGTTGATTTTGCTGCACTT